ATGGGTTTAGGGTTTAGGGGTCATGCGGGGCCTGAAATCATACGTAGCTCAGCAGCTGCCACCTAGGAAGATATCTTGCAATGTATGTCAAATACAAAGGACTGCTGACTATCAGGATATACCCTGATCATAACTTGAGGGTTTACCTGCTATGGCTCAAGCAAGGAAAACAGCATTTCCAGCAACGCTCGGGATGTGGAAGTTTCCCTAAATTANNAAATTTATATAGGGCCCCGTATTACAATAGGAACCTAAATATAGGACCCCGTATTGACAGTAATTTAGGACAATCCCCATGTGTGGCTTGTGATGGTTTGGCAATTGGGAGCTGAAGTTGAGCGCCATGTGGGGTCTAACGCTCGTCTGGGCTGCTTTTAAGAGTCTTAAGTTGCAGTCTAGCTTGAGCTATGAAGCCCTTGCAAAGGTAGCTTACTTTAGGTTCCTGGACAGAAACCAGGTCATTCCGCCTGGCTGTTACTTTGCACAAGCCCGCTACTGAGTCCTGAAGCCATGTTGGACAGTAGATCAGGAGATGGTGAACATCCACTGAAACAAGCCCTACAAAATCCTAGAAGGCTAAACCACAGCCTAGGCTCATCCTCCCACTCCATTTTTGCGATTGCATCGGCGTGGATGCCTGGAGCTACTGGAAAGGCGCAGCTGCTCTTTTTCCGCACTTTATAGGGGTTTCCCCAAATTAGGGGACCTTTACGTCCGTCCTCCTTTATGGCGGTCCTCATAATCAAGATTATGATGCTTGGGGTCCACCTATTTATACAAACTGCCGGATTGAGGCAAGAGATTTCGTTGGCAGGAAAGGAGGATTACATGGGCATATGGTATGGTTCTCTATGCTCAGCAGGCCAGCTACAATTACACCAGGTATGGAGGCCCCTCAAACGTTGTGCTCCAGCGTGAACGATTATGATAAACGCCTCAAAACTGAGATGCTGAAGATGTTTTACAGTTACACAAATACCATGACTTGGAGAAAGAAATTTGATCCAAATCAGATTTTGGGATTCGGTTTTACAACGCTTGAACACAATCCCAAGGGCTAAGCAGAAGCATCCTCGCAGCAGTCAAAAAATGCTGAGTAGTGCCCATCTAAGCAGGGACTCTGCTAAATGCGACTTTGTGCAAACCTGCTTCCTTGAATATGTCCATAGTGAAGGTCCCTAAACCCTAAGGGTTTAGGGTTTTGGGTTTTGGGTTTAGGTTTAGGTATCTTCAAGCCAGCGGCACAGTAGCATGGAGGATTTTTCAGGTGGACCCCCCACCCCCACAACACTGCAATGCTGACTCTAAGGGATCAGTGGTAATTTTAAGGGCCCCCATACATTTCTGAAATGCCGCCCTCACCCATAAACCCTTAGGTAACCCCTCCCCACCCCCCCCCCTCCCACCAAAAAAAACAAATTGTGTGTGTATGTGTGTATATATATATATGTATAAAATAACAGGGGAGGGTCACCTAAAGGATACTGTCCACCCTGTCAACCGCCCGGCTAAACCAGCCATCTCTGACCCTCAAAGCCCAAACCTCATAGGGGTTCTATAAGGGTGGTAGGGTTTAGAGTTAAGACTTTACGGTGTGGAGTTTAGGGTTTAGGGTCATTGGGCGTCTACAGCGGCTCTATGAAATCATATAATGTAAGGGGTCTAGAAGGATAGTATAGGGATGATATAAGGGTTCTAAAATGAATTCTCAAAATTCTGAAGCCCGCGGAAAGATGTTCTATATTGTTTTGGCCCCTGCCTTAGGCGAATTCCCTTATCCTTACCCAACACTGAGTAGCAACAAACCCTAAACCCTACTCTCAACCAAACGGTGACCAGTGGGGCAAGTACCATTGTAGATCACTTCGATCTTGGCGCCATGAACATGGTAGTGCGAGCAGACCTGAAAGACCCCAAAATCCTTGTTTGGAGGTTCCTAGAATAAGCCTACTGATAGTATATTGGTGTATATGAGGGGGGAAATCCTTGGTGTGTTGCGAGCGGCCTTATACAAGGTTTAGACGTACGCTTCGCTTTTTGATCAGCCCGCCCCTTGAAAAAATGAAAAGTAATATGTACGCCTCTTTGGGTTTTGACTTGACCTGGAAGCCAGATAGAGGCTCTGGACTCCAGTACTGGAGCGTGGATTCTATCAAATTCAGGGATTCTGTTCTTGAGGGCTTTGGAGGAGCATAGGGGAATTACGTATGGATCGGTGAGGTCTCTACAACCTGCGTGTTGTTCCAAGCAGCCCAATAAAGCACTTGTTTTAAAGGCTGCGCGACAATCTATACTTACAGAGTTGGAGACACCAGGCCTCTCTTGAATGAACCCACTTGTCGGTTTGGGGAGCATTCCTCGGCTGAAGGGCTTGGGATTTCCCGGTACCCCATGACCTCGTGAATATCCAACACTTCAAACCCCCTGCATAGTTGAATCCAACCACAACGTAATCCTTACTACGATAAAGCCAGAATCATGACTTTGAAGAAGACCTTCCCAAGAGCAGCCACATAGTCAGTAATTAATTACCCGTGACGAGACGCCTACCCCTCCTGCCAGCAACGTCGTAGCAGGCCTCACAAAATACCAATGTAAGCCCAAACGCTTGTGTTGAAGCTTCCTGCCGCCTGGTAGTATACAGGGGCTGGAGGAACGGATCACAACATGACCCAGTGGTGAACGCCGGTATAAGCCCGATAATGCAGCAAGCCATGTCTTATTCCAAAATACCACGACGCAGTTCTGCGAGTTCATAACAGGCGGAATCTTTGGGATCACCAGTCAGTATAAGGAATAATCGACGTCCCGGAATGCCCCCACGGATTAGAACAAAGCGAATTTTAAGAGACCCTTGCTAACGCAAGCCTCCTCTTTGAGGACGCCTGACACCGCGATGACCCGATGAGCAGAATGACAGGCTTGGCCTTCGATCTCGCCTAGGCTTGCCCAACGGCTTTCAACTACTGGTTGGGATGCTATTCATTAAACTGTGGTGCATATTCCTTTGTGTTCTGGTACTGGAAAAGACGCAAAATGCGGTCAGGAGGGTTTCGCAAGGTTGGGGATTCTGGGGTTCAGTGATGAGCTTGAAGGAGGTTAGGGCTTGAGGGCTTGCGGGTTAGGTTTAAGTTTTTACGGGTCCAGCCTCTAGGATTCTTGCAGATTGCTGGCTGTTTGTGTTCATGCAGAGACGTGCAGCCCCTGTTCCCCCATGATAACTGGCGGAGCAACCTATAGGTCGTGATCCAGGTTGCTTGTGAGGAAATTGTGGTATAATTAAACAGATAATCCTAGTGCCCTTGTCTGGGAATATATAGCCCTTAATAGTGGATACGTACTTAGGCCCTAATAGAGTCTAGGTAAACAGGTGCCATTCCAACATTCCGAAGGCAGCCTAACGAAGCGCTGCATCTCAACCTACGCAGGCCAGTGACTCTTCATCTGGTCAGACGTGTCGGAAGCAGCCACATGTGAGTGATGGTAACGATGGTCGTTGGCATGTGCAAACCAAGGAGACTTCGTCTTCCTAAAGCACGCGCGTAGAATCACATTATGGCCATCCGGACTGCGCAATCCTACTCAAATCCCATATGGGCGAGAACGATGCTGCAAGAATGCCCAATAACTTCAACTTCAAGCCCTGTGATCAAACCACCTAGAAGTTGCAAGCAAAGAACGGATTCTGGTTTCAAAGCCTTGTTCGGACACTTGGAATCCAGAAACTCTTGAAGCAGAACGTTGTGCACAAGAGCCACCCAGGCAAGCTTGGGGAGTTGACTGTAAACCCGCACAGAAACCCTAAACTCTAGACCCGAAGGTCCCAAGCCTTGACTAAGCCCTAAACTCAAAACCCTACACCCAAAATCCTACAATGCTCAACACCCTGACCGTGGAATCCTCAACGAAAAGACTGTCTAAGTCATGGACGAATTCGGGCACTTTGTCCTCCATATTGCACCTGGCAGCTGCGACTGCGACAGACTCGCCTCGAGCACTGCTGCAGGAGGCAGCAACAGATGCATGCGAAGGCGAAAGTATGGGAAAACACGGCTAAGCAACCATGGTTGGATAGCATGCTATGACTCCCCCCCCATCTCACATGTCAGGGCAGACGTTTCCGCATCGACCAGTCTCCGTCGAGTGCATCGTAAACACAACCTGCAGCAGGCAGTAGCGGTATTCTGCTACTCAACGCCGTCTAATTTCTGGAGTGCCTGTTAACGTGCAGATCGCCAAAGTTCCTCTTCAAAACTGTGGGCTTCAGTTGAAGACTTCTGCGAACACGTGGAAAATATCATGGAGCAAAGGTCCGTTGGAATCAGGTCTGTTGGAATCAAATGTCTTCTACCAGTGTAGAAAGATTCATTCAGAATGCCATGTATGAGAAGTTAAGGGTTTAGGATTGACGGTTCAGGCCATGCTAGATGGTCACATGAAGTTCCGAATGGGCCTGTCTACGAGGCTACGAGGCTGCCACAGCAGTTTCCTTTTGGACAAGGAACACTACCCTCAGAGTCCTTTTGCGCCTTCATATGCTATGCAGGCCCATCCTATATATATGCTACATGAGAACAACCCCACCTGAAGACCCTAGACCGTAGACCATGCACATCCAAGCTGGTCCAAGCTCAGCGCTCGCTTGTTCATAGAGGCCAGTTGGATTACCTAGGGCAACAGGCAGAGTCAAGGGCTATCCCAGAGGGCCCATGTTCCAATAATTAAGTACTTGATATTGACAATTCTAGTACAGGTTTTGGGTAGGTATATATTTATTGAGAAATTGGACCCTTTGGGTATAGGGATTTAGGGCTCAACCTCATCTTCGGTACGCCCAATGTGGAGCGGTCTCAAACCAGAAGCGCTTCTTGGAGCGGCATATAGGAGCATCGAACTACTTTTTCGTAAACCAATAGATCTCACCTAGGCCAAGAAAGCACGTACAACCCTATGTACCCTTTTGCTCCAATATCACCTTATACTCCCCTTTACATCCTTATATCCCCCATATACCCCCATATGTCCATATATATATATATATGCATATGGGATGGGCCTAGCTAAATTGCATATTTTGGGAGTCAGAGTGCGGAAAGTCATGCAGGTTTGTGGGACTGCGAGTTTTTTGAGGTTCTGGCTCCTGGACCTCTTGGGAAACCATCATATGACTGGGATTCTTTTATCAAACCATGTCGTACTATGTGAAGTAGTTCGAATCGATGAGGGCCGGTGAATCTCAAATGCTGATTGTCTTCAGCACGCCACCCGGTGGCCGAGCAGGTACACAAATAGCACCGCTGCGGCTGTAGGAACAACTACCCAAGCCTCCAAAAAGTGAGCGAACTGCAACCAATTTTGACAACCTGCAAACCCTGAGCTTCAACTTACGTGTAGCGTCAAGGAGAACTATGGAAAGCGTCCATGCTTCACAAATTCCTAATACCCGTAAGAGGTCAGCACAAGCACCAGGACTATGAACACCTAAATGCGGAGTACACAGCCCAATGGCAAAATACAAGCCCCACGGGCCCAAGTACTTAATAACCATATGCTCACCCAAAACCTGTACCAGAATTGATTTTGCCAAATCCCAAGTACCTAATTATTGGGTATGTGGACAACTCCGCAACATGTAGTTCAGGTCTGGCTGCCGCTGGTCCTACCAGCCAATCGTGGCCATGGACGATATCAAAGCCACCTGCCAGCGTATGGTTGGCATGAACCCCCGATTTCCTGCAGCTCAGTAATAATTACCCCTAACTAGTAGGTAACTGCAGTAGGTAATTCGGGTTACAGGTAGGGACCAACAAGACCCCAACAGACGGATCCTCGAAATGGCTGTATGCTTCTAGCCCTAAGCGTCCATGTACCCAATAATTAGGTACTTGGGATTTTGGTAATAGTAATTATACTACAGGTTTTGGGTAAGTATATGATTATTAGGTACTTGGACCCTTAGGGCTAGCTCAATCATCAAGGGCAGGCCTAAGCGGTGCTCCATTTGCATGAAGTGTCCGACCTCGGAGGCTCGGCAAAGGAAGGTAGCCTGCTCTAGCACCTCGTAGGCTATATATGGACTACTTATAGGGAAAATATTGGGGACTTATAGGGATAATGGAAAAAATGGAAACTTCTATATAGTAGATTTGGGTAATACAGGGGTATTCCAAAAAAATGGAAACTACTATAGTATATTGGGGTTGTATTGGGATAATGGAAAAGAAAATGGAAGCTACCATTTAGGGTTTAGGGTTTCCCAAAATTAGGGGTACCTGTTTGGGGTTCCCAATAAGGACTATAGTATATAAGGGCCTACATTGGGTTCCCCTCATTTTCTGGAAACCACCATATGGAGGTGTATAGGGCAATATAAGAATCATGGAAAATTCACCGGAAGCTACTATTTGCGGGGTTTACAGGTTTCAGGTTTGAGGTTCTGTCCTGTGACACCAAGACACGAATGAGCTGCACATGTTCTCGATCTCCCGTACGAAGTCGCCGTCCGTGTTGAAGTTCACCTCTCAGTATCAGTGCTGAGATGCAAGTTGATCTTGAAGTTCTGTCTATACAATTTCAGCCGTGAGGGCTCGGAAGCCACTTAAAGGCTGAGTTCAGATTCGATGGATGTCAAACTCAGGGTCTCCATTCAATCCCAATAACAAAAACAATGCATTAGGAATGCACCCCCGCAACCTCGTGATAGATGACACCGGAGATATCATTCCTGAGCTGCGTTGCCATCAGCAAAGCCACTAGGCATGTGCAAACAGGACCCCCGCGCAACTGGGAGAGGATTTGGAACATGCCTTGTCATGCTTGGGCTTAGGGCTTAGGGTTCAGGAGTGCGGAAAAATGAACAAAACAAGCTTGCAGCCACAGCACGTCGGTCTGAAATATTAGCCAAGACGAGAAATCATTAGAAAAGACACCGTCCCGTCGCACAACAAGAAAAAACAGCAGTTCCCACTGGCATCCATGACTCTCCCAGGTACGGTTCTGTGTCGATCTGGTGAAGATATGGACTGTATGGCCTCCCAGGCTGTTCATCAGGCTTTTGGTTTTGGGCTTCAATCTAACCATCTGAGGTATGGGCGGTGAACGGGGGCCCGGTACACCTTTATTATGGTGCAAGGGCACGCACGCCCCAAAACCCATGGGTTTTTGACTATTAAGCGCAGGAAGGTCGTGCCAGGTGTCCTGAACAGTCATGGCGCCCTGCGCTGAAAACAAAATCTGACTTCAATAGCTGGGCTACTAAGTGCTCAGAGCACAACTTCAAAACGCATGAAGGCCTGGAGTGTAAGCAGCTGCGCATCTGCAGCAACTGGTAGAATGAGGTTGCCAACTGAAAAAGGACATGAGGAATGGAGGACAGGCTGTCGAGCAAAGAAAGAGGTTAGGACTCTTCCAAAGTCAATGGTAGCAATGTCTTCAGGAAGGAGAAGCAATCATCAGTCTTTTTCTTCAGACTTCCATCAACAGTAGAAGATGAGATATAACCTAAACTCTTAGCATCCCCCTTACTACCCCTCTCACACTGCCCTACATAATCCCCGAAATAACACCCCTTCTATAGGAGTTTAGGCTATAGGCTATGGCCCCTAAACCCTAGACCCTACGTATAGATGTATATATGTACAGAGAGAGAGAGGAGTGAGAGAGCGAGAGCCCACTTCAAGGAGTTTTGACTATAACTTAGATGATTAGGCAAGCGGTAGCGGCCATGCCTGCTTTGTGAAGCGCGCCAGCCAATTCAGTGACCTCGGGCCCAGTTGAATGACCCTAAACCCTAAACACTAACTCCTAAACTCTAAATCCTAGACTGAAATAGAATGTGGCTAAGACCGAGGCATACCTGGGATTGCTTCACAATCATCTGTTCTTGCTTGGGTATCCATAGGAGAGGAAATATACAATTTGTGGGTCTTCAAAAGGCCCGGAATGTCCTGCATGACCCTCAGAAGCCTAGCCACAACAGATTTGCGGAAATTCAGAGGCCCCAACCGTTGTAAACATGTCACGGAACGCTTCATCTATTGAGTTGACCACGACCATCTAAAGCCACCCCAATTACCATCACCAAACGTATCTTAAGGATCCAAATATCTATGAAGTCTATATTTTGAACCTAAGCAGGTTCTCATGTAGGCACACTTTACCTTCTTGAATTCAGTTTCAGCTCTTGTGACGCTACGCGTCTCTCTTCGAGGATGCTTCGAGGCTCGTGTGGCTGGCAAGCGAACTACTGTAAAATGTAGGCACACTTTACCTGATTTGGGTAGTGGAACCCTGAAGGCTACATCTCCTCAGCAAAAGACCTGCCCTTTCAACGTAAAACCTGACCCGCAAATCCCGTTTTTCACGGCTGCCCAATAGGAATAAAGAAGATAGCGGAAGCTGCCATTCTATTTACAGCTTAGGGTCTAGGGTGGTTACTGGAGACCCTGGAATGCGTTATGGGGACCTATTGCTGATGATACATCAGGGCTATACTACAGACATCCATGCCCCCATTCCCTACTTCACAACGTAATGCTAACAGCATCCTGCAAGCCTACATCTTGTGCTTGGGGGTTACAAGAGGAAGCACACTGTTGAATAAGCCGAAACAAAAAAAACTGAATCCAACATCAAGAAAAGTCACCCCAAGGCTCAAGACCTTAACCTCGGAAGTGTAAACACAGTCTGGCTTGCGTTCTCAAAACTTTTTTGGGGGGGGACTTCTGGGGGGTCCTCTGTATATACATACATATGTTTATGCATGTATATACGCATGTGTGCGTATCTGACCATATATGTCCAGCCAAAAACTGAGAGAGAATGGCATAGCGCTAGGGACTCCACGGATTACCGAGACCACTTGGGAATACTTCATGGAGTACCCTAGGGATCCAGATAGCCCAATGTAGGTAATATTTACAGACTTTAGGGCCCAATGTAGGTATTATTTGTATACTTGGATCCCTAGGGGTATGCATGGTTAGGCTTCAGGGTTTAGAGTGTAGTTTTGTTTCTCGGGAAGGTCTTCTATATGCATATTCTGAGAGGTCTCTGTTTGCCTTTACTGAAGAGCCTTCGTATCCTCAACAGGGATCGCCTTTTCAAAACAACATCCTGTCCCTCAGAACTGGGGCAGGAAGAGACCCACTATGGCGGGTGCTAGCGCTTGTTCTTACTGCCATGAATGGAATGGCTTTCACTCGCACGAAGAACATACACACATACAAGCCTCTAACTTTGAGATTCATCCAACCCGCGCATCTCGGTACCTAGCGTGTGGCGCCACGCCGCCAGCTGCGATGGTATGGAGAGTCTCCCACCTAGGCATAGAGATCGGAATCAGCACGTTACAGATGGTTTTCTTCCCAGAGGGTCCAGGCATATGCGTACATACGGATGACATAATATTTTGGAGAGGCCGCATGGATTCCTGCATGGACACTTATAAGTGTATACTATGTAGCTTAGTAGCTACCTGGACATTTCGGGCTTGAGAGCCTCACGAAGAATATACTGGGGATTTTCAGAAAAATGGGGGCCTTGGAAAGGTACGCATGAAACATGATTCAGCTTGCTTTTCTTTAACTTTGTCGCGTAGGACTCCGAGCTTTGAGAATAACATTTTCCAGGACTGAATCATGCTTGTCTTCCTCTCTCCAGGCAGTAGAGGGGTCTGATGAGGACATGGGCAAAAACAAGACCAGAAAACTTGGCAATGGGTTCCCAGACCCCCAAAGGGATCTAAAAATTAGATCCCCTAGAACCATAGGGGGAATTATATAAGGATTATATAGGGGTCATAATGGATCTATATAGGGGATCTAATTTTTAGATCCTCCCGGGGGTCTGGGTTGGACTTGTGTGGAAGTGCGTCGTCTAGAAGCCTTTGATCGGCCGTGCGCAAACCTCATCCTCTCAAGCCCCACTGCCTGGCAATTCTAGAAGGTTTAGGGTTTAGGGGTTTAGGGTTTAGGGGTTTAGGGTTGAGGGTTTAGGGTTAGTGCAAGGGAAGATAAACCGATCCAAAACGGATGTCTCTCAGTGCGCCGATAGGAAAACCCAGCCTGGTGCTTTGCACGCCGCAGAATGAAGACTAACAACTATAGTCTGGTTTTTAGAAAGCAAACGTAAATGGATGACCCACTGGGGCAACACCATGCTCGCTGTCATTCTTAGACATCAAGCCACTCATGTAAGTCATAATTTGGGCCCCACGTATACATGTGCTATGTCAGTACTTGCGTGGTTGGTCAGGATCTGGCCCAACAAGCTCCTGAGGCCAAGTCGACAGCATTGCAATCTTCAGCGGCCGTCTCCCAACAGCCTTGTAGCTCTGGGGGTTTAGGGGTCTAGGGGTTTAGGGGTGTAGGGGTCTGGGGGTTTAGGGCTTCTAGGGTTCAGTGTTTAGTGATTTAGGGCTTCCAGGGTTTAGGGCTTCTAGGGTTCAGGCTTTAGGGCTTTTAGGGTTCAGGGTTTAAGGGTTTAGGGCTTCTAGGTTTCAGGGTGTAGGTTGGCTTGACAGGTGACGACCGTAATTTGCAGAGTCATATACAAGCCTAAAAGCCATGGTCGGTGTGTCCTTTAGGGTTTAGGGTTTAGGGGTTTAGGGTTTAGGTCCTTAGTATGGAGATCCTGAAGAGACCCATACCCGGAAGAAACACTAATGCTGCACAAGCTCCGCGTGTGGCATCCATGACATCCCCGGTGATCCAACATGGATTGTAGTACGTGGGGTTACTATTGCCCAGACGCCTCGGAGGATCTAAAAATTGGATCCCCTATATAGACCCATTATAACCCCCATATAATCCTTATATAATTCCCCCTATGGTTCTAGGGGATCTAATTTTTAGATCCTTTTGGGGGTCTGGGTGGTTGCAGTTGCCCAACTACTACCTGCACATCTGCGTGCAGGCGCCTAAATCGGATTCATACTCAAGGCTCTGATTTGGAAACTGCGCTTGTGCCAGAACTCCGAAACACTTCTTCAACGTGAGGCACTCTTATGCGGCACTGAATCTTCTGGGCGACAAAAAATGGGTCCCGGAAGGCTGAGTTCGGCACGGAATGATCCAGCGACTCCATATATCCCAAGATTTTCTCGTTGGGCGCGTTGTTCTTCACCTTGTGGCAGAGCATTAGGCGGATTCATCAAACGCGGATCTCATTGTAAGCTGTGGTTCTGAAGAAGAGACCGTTCCAGTGCACCAAAGCTTGGCATGCTGACAGCAAAATGCGGATATCATCGACCAACGTCTATGGATGTGGGTTCCAAGCTGGCTAGAAACTTCGCTTGCATGCTTAGCCCCTATCCACACCCTCGAAAGCATGCGTGCGGTGCGGACATAGTCCCAAACCTCAGTCACCAATAGTCACATACAAGATCATACAAGTAGTTCCCCCTAACCTATACCACAACTGCTGGCGTCAAAAACCCAAGTACCAAAGTATTGGGTGTTTCAACACTTAACCCGACACCTGAAACCTAAACCCTAAGCATCCCTAATCACTAGAACCCCAAACCCTGAAGGGTTTAGGGTTTAGGGTTTAGGGAAACGCTAACCCACAATCTACACCCTCAAACCCTAAAACCTCAAACCCTGAACCCTTAAACCCCAAAACGACTAAAACCCAAAATCTACAATAATATAGTAGTTTCCATTTTCTTTTCCATTATCCCTATATAACCCCAATATAATCCCAATATATACCCTATATAACCCATTATAGTAGTTTCTATGCAAAACTGAAGCCACTCAAAATCCTATCCCTAAACCCTAAACCCTAAACCGTGTGCCACTCCGTGGGATCCCAGGACCTTGCCTCGCAAATGTGCTCCACGATGGTCTTCATGCCCCACTGCTCGTCGCGGTCTGAGGTGGTTTGGGGTTCTAGGGCTTAGGGTTTTTAGGGTTTAGGGTTTAGGGTTTAGGGTTAAGGATTTGGAGGTTTGGGGTTTGGGCCTTTAGGATGTTTTGGTCTACAAGGTTCAGGGTTCAGCAGTTATACGGCGTTTGGTTGTCGTGTTTATGTAGGCTTATGGATGTCGTGGGGGGCCTTCTGAGGGCAGTATCCTCGCGGGGGTGATTAATTGTAGCTTTTGTAATGATCATCTTTGTTCATGTCAGGCTTGTGTAGAGGTGTAAACTACCCTAAGGCCTAAACCCTCAACCGTAGCCAAACCTATGCTAGCGATTTCGGCCATATTCTGTTGCAAAGCAGGCCTGCCGATTGCAGAGTGGCTGCGCGGTTTTAAAAGTTTTGTCGATTTAGGGTTTAGGGCTTTGGCTGTGGAAAGTTGACTACGATTAGCAAGAATGGGCTTTAAAAGGGGTCAGGGATTGCATTAATCCCTCAGACGCGGATTCGTGATGAAATTTAGATTCGTTCAACTGAGCGGGAACTAGTATGTGTCAAATATGTGTACACAATCCGCAATTCAAGCCTTCCTTGTTCACAGCGCAGCCACTCCTCCGCACACCGGAAACCCGGCTGAGCGCACGGCAAGCCGCGAGCAACTCTCGGAAGAGGGATGGCGCGTTGGAGCCCTGCTCTGTGAAGGGTAAGTGGGTGTGGGGTTGAACTCATGATGATCATCATGGCTTATGAGGCTCTGAGATAGACAGACTTTCGTTAAGAAACCTGCACAAGCAAGTGCCTTACAGACAAACCTTCATGATCCGACCGGATCTTTTGGCTTCAAGTTCCACTCCGCGGTGGTGAAAACAGCTAGAGAAGATCTTGTCGCCTGGCCAGGCACAAGAAACAAGTACTACGACTCTGCTGTGCAGTTTGCACAGCGCTGAGCTGCGGATCTACGTATTCTAGACGTGAAGCAAAGGCTTGTGTCCATTTCGCACTGTGGCTTCTTCATGGTTTCCTAGAGAATGGAAAGGGTTTATAGTCATGTTCGGTCACCTAGAAGGATACAAGGGTAAACAAGCTCCTTTCCAAACCTGGTGTCCGGACCCCTTTTTAGGGCACCTAATTTTGTATGTCGAAGATATTAGACATGAAGTTGGGTACCCCAAAAAGCGGGTACAGTGTAGGGATCTAGGTGGTGCTTAAAAGATTCTACCGATTTTCTCTAAGCCTTGGATAATTTTCATCCAGAGGCTTCAAGATTTGTTGGGGTCATAGGGGGCAACTGGCCAATGTTCTTGGCAGGGAACTGTTGCGCTGGCTTGTGCTAGGATACGGGTTGCCCAAATTGCTGGAAGAATGAAGGAACCAGCTATCTCCAAGACATGGCTGAGCACAGCCCATCGCAAAATGATGTCACTGCGACCATTCCCTAAGCATGCATCCGAAGGAGTTCTTTAAACTTTAGACCCTAAGGGGAAGGCAAGGCATCTGGATTTAAGCAAGTGAAGGCCCTTCCTAAGAACTCGACACGCAACAGAACCTTACAAGACCGAGTTCAGCTGAAGCACATCTGATGCAAGGTCCAACCATGAACCGGCTCAGAAGGGACGTGGATTTACGGATACTTGCTCGCATCCTCTTGCTTGCACCTCTGAACTCTGAAGCTACGCCTAGAATACCTACACAGCCCCTTTCCGGCATCCTGACGCGTAATCATCCAGTACCCAGAAAACCCTTACCTAGCTCCTTGGGCACACATCACACATATCCCAAAACCTGCACGCACCCAACTAAACCATCAAAGCTGACTACCAACCCCAAAATGAAGCCCCCAGACCCATGTAAATGTGTAGACACATCCCCGACTCCATCTGCTGAGTTTCCTGGACCCCAAAGGCTAAGTTGTTCATTTCTAAAGGCGCAAGATACACCCCGAAAGGTCAAAAAATACGTTTTGCAGCTGAGAAGGACTGTGCCCAGAAGGAAGGTATAATCTTAACCTATATACTGCCACATATAGTCTCTCCAAGTCCTAAACCCTAAGCCCTAGGCCCTAAACCCTTTATAAACCCTAATCCCTAAACCCTGAACCCCTAAACTTTTAGGGAACTCGACCTGCCGGTAGTCGAAGCCCAGGCCACCATCCTCCAGCTTGTCGCAGAGGTGCGGATACATCGTGGTTTCCTGCATGGTTAAGGGTTTAAGGTTTAGGGCATAGAGTTTGGGGCTTAGGGTCTAGGGTTTAGGGTTTTAGGGTTCAGGGGTTGGTTCTTAGTAGGGAATAGCGGAATATAGTCCCTTTATAATATATTCCCATATTCCCGCTAAGAACCAGTAAGTTTAGGGTTATTGTGCTCATGTAGGGTTGATAGGGCCCAGGATCGGATGTTTGGGCCTTATGCAGGGTTTGGGGTTTGGGGTAAGGGTATCAGTTTGGGGTCTTCTCACAACAGGGTTACCTTTATAGGGAGCCAGAGATGTAGAAGGCTTGTAAGGGTGATTCTGGGGAGCCCTTCTCTAGAGGGTATCTTGCATGATAAGCACCACATACGCAGGGCTTGCTTCGGGATTGTGTTCAGGTCATGTAGGGGTTCTTCAGTGATTGCATATGGTAAGTATGTCGAGGAGACATGGGATATAGCCAGTCTGCGAGGGCTTGTCATGTTAACGCAGGGCCTCTCGGGCTGGTACACGTCGAATTACATGCTGACCGTCTTTTGTCATCCGCCAAACTACAGCTGGACTATACTTGTGAATTCAAGTTGGTTCCCCACAAATCACTTCAGATTTAGAATTCCATCGTTGACTTCCACAAATGAGAGACATGCCGCCAACACAACTAGCAGAGCGTGTCCGGCAACCGTGCTACTAAGAAGAATTCGGCGATAATTCTACCAGTATCCCATATGTGAATGGCGGCATTAACGATACAAATAGGATCCCGAAAGAAATTCAAAAACAAAACAGTATCATGCAAGTGGTGGTGGTGGTGGCGGCGGCGGCGGCGGCGGCGGCGGGGGTGGCGGTGGCGGCGGCGGCG